GCCACTAACCAAAACTTATTGCCCTAGTTAGGATTACCATTGCTGTGATGAAACACCAGAACCAAAAGCAAATTGAGGAGAAAAGGGTTTATTTGGCTTATGCTTCTGAATCACCGTTCATCATTGAAGGAAGTCTGGACAGGAATTCAAACAGGGCAGGAACCCAGAGGCAGGGGCTGATGCAGAGGTCATGGAGAAGTACTGCTTTACTACCTTGCTCCTTACAGCTTGCTCAGTCGGCTTTTTTATAGAAACCAGGACCACCACCCCAGAAGTGGTGCCACCCACAATGGGCTGGGCCCTCCCACATTAGTCACTAATTAAGAAATAACTTCTAGGCCTGCATATAGCCCGATCTTATTGAGGCATTTTTCTCAACTGAGGTTTCCTCCTCTTTGATGACTCTAGCTAGTGTCAAGGTGACATAAAACTAGCCAGGACACCTATGATATAGTTCTTTAATTATATTGTCATCAGAATTGATCAAACTTATTTTTCATTGGTGTCCCAATACATAGCGTAAGTCTTTTGTTACTATTGATTTAAAAACTTATATAGAAGGATTTTAAATTTTTTAATTTTATATCATTTTGACTAGTATGTATATCAAGTGAGAAGCATTAGGCCTACATTAGTGTCAGCATGGACTCAGCTGTAATGCTGTAATGCTTGTTCAGTATAATTACAAATAACAAGAATGTATTGTTAGGACATTACATATGTATTAGCATATACAACTGCTATGGAAATCTACCATGAAGTCAGATGCTTCTGAATCAATTACTGATCACATTTCATACACGTTTGTTAGGTAATAATTTTGCCCTCCCTTTGTTTTGTATAACTTTTTTAAATGACCTTAATAATGCTAAAGTATTATTAGTGGGTTCTTCATGTTCAATAGTCTTTGCATTTGGAGCCCTCATGCAGTAAACTACAAAACTTTATATAACTATCACAGCAAGTAGTTCAGACTTCAATGAGAAAAGTCTCATATAAGTTATAATTTCATTATGAGAATCATAGATTTTTATTCACATCAGTTCAAGTAAAGGGAAGGCAAGACACAAATGGCTTTACATCACACATAATAAAGGGATGCGATTCCTTTCTACACAGAGAGAAGAGTTTTTCTGGAACTTCCCCGAGGCTTAAAAATCTGTCCTACAGTAGCAGTGTTAGAAAACTGAGATTAGTACTTCAACTCAGCTCAAATTAACTGCTGCTTGAGGGTTCCATGAATGTCCATTATACAAATACAAATGCACATTACAAATATACTACTACCTGAATGTGAGGACAGTGTGGCCAGTTCTGATTAGACCTGTAAGAATTGTGTTTATCTGTCATGAAGATGACATACATTTTCAGAACAGTTTTATTCATTATGATGTGAGCCTAGAATCTGGGGCTATTTAAGTATTTAAATGAGCAAAGATATGAATGAATGTGTGCTAAAAAGACAAGAACTGATTTTCTAAGGTGCAGGCCACTAGACTGATTGTGGGTAATGCTTCTTGGCTTTAAACTTGGATTTGCTCAATAAAACAATAGTTCCAGATGCACAGCAGTGACAGGATTGCAGCATCACAGCTCGACAGCCGAGAATGCAGAGCACTGTGGTTATGGACGTAACTGTCATCAAGCAAGCTTGTGTCTTGATTTGTATTCAGCTATTTTACATTCCAACTGCTTCCCATCTATATCTGTGAGGCCTGCTAAGAGGTCAGTAGTTCAGTGGTAAATGAAAAGATTCTAATTCATGAAGTTTAACAGAAGACACAAACACAAGAAAACCATAGTACAATAAGTAGGAAAGGAAGGAGGCAACCCAGATGGAAATAGTGAACAGGATGTCTTGATTAAACACCTACTTGAAACTACCTTTTATTTCTCACTTTAAAAAAAGTACTTTTTTTTATGTTCCAAACTGTTAACTCTACCTTAAAAAAGTTTTCTTTCCTGAAGTTAAACACAAACTCTAAAGTCAGTGACCTACTTGGGAAATGCAAACAATGGATTTGAGATCCAACAAGCAAATTTCAAGTCTTACTCAGTTTTACTTGAGCAACAGATGTGATGAAATGAAGATAGTTAGGATAGTTAGTTTTGAGTTAAGATCACATGAGACTTCTGCATATGGGCAAATTTTCTGTAATGTCTGTATAATCGCCTCCTGTGAAAAGAAGACTCTGTGGCATCTTGAGTTGAATGCAATCCTTTTCAGTGGATCCCAGTCTAGCAGAAGGAAGACTGAAAATAGACCATTTAGCCTGGAAACTTTCCCAATTGACCTTCAGGTTCTGTGAGCGATTCCACAATGACTGGGATTCTAAAACATAGCTGTAATATATTTCATTAACTGCCTATTTTCAGTATGAATTTAAGGCAAATCTCTGTGAAAACTCACATCCATGTCAACCAGAGCACTTAAGGAGAAATAGGAAATAAGATTACAGAGAAATGCTAGGGGAAAGGGTCTACAATCTAATAATGCCTAGATTACAAAACATTTCAACTCTGCTCAGTTAGCAGAGAATAAAACTAATTAAAATAACTAATTATCGTATTATTTGGTAGGAAATATGTACTCAGGTTTTTTTTAAGAATCCAAAAATACATGGTGAATTGACTATCAACTTTGTGTTTCACATATATATTTGTATTTAATTGTGGTCCCAACTCCGTGAAGCAAATGTTATTAATTAATTTTTAAAAATAAGATACTGCATCACAGAGAAGTTAAATAACCAGCAAACTCAGAACTGGCGAGTGGACAATCAAGAACTTCAGCTCATACTCATCGAACTGTGTAGCTCATGTGACAAATTCAAATGACTGAAATACCATCTCTGCCTCATCTTGCCTTCCAACTCAAAACATGCCAACACACACATCAGCATCCCCAGACACACAGAAACACAATAGGTTGACTATATTCAGGGGTTATTTCAGGGAATCTTCTAGAAGAACATTTAGGCTGTACAGGAAAAATACCCTCCCTCATTTATGTGAAGGATAAGAGACTTTATCAACTATATCTAAAAGAAGAGGTTTAGCTTATCATTTAGTGTAGTACTCTACCCCTTTATGTTCTAGTGGGGTCATTTAAGAGTTATGCGGAGAGTTCAAAAGTAGCTTTCAAGGGAGGAAAAAGACACATGCAGAAGCCAATGAACACTGGTGTTTTTTTTCTCTATAGAATCCCCAAAGAAAATGGCTCTTAATTCAGAAAACAGTGTCCAAACTAAGGTCATCTCCAGATTGACACAACTTGCTGAAGAATTCAAAGCAGTAATTTCAAATGTAGATGATGGAAAAGAGCAGTCATCCATTGGTTCCATGAGGAAACCTCAATTTATGTAGGCATCCATAAAAGTAAGATAAAACCACTAGGCTTCAGAGACAGGACTAGGCAATTTGAGGTAGTTTGTAGTAGAGAGGTCTTCAGTACAAGCAGGGGAACTGGGAGGAGTCTACTCAGGTGGCTAGAACCTGAAGTTATAGGTAAGAGAAACTCATATAAGAAGAAGGCTTGAATTTTACTGGACCCAAGTCAGGTAACGGAAAACTTTCAGAGTGAAGTGTTGGCAGCATGGAGCTGAGTAATCAGAATTCGATAACTGGCACACTATTTAGTGATAACATTACTAAGATGGTATTGTGGAGATTCAAATCTTGTAGAAAAAAAAAACGTGGATAGATGAAGTGACTTGCACAAGAGTCAAACTGTGGCAAATTCAAGAAAATTTTTAATCCCACATATTTTCTTCCAAAATACACTTTACTCTCCATAGATGAATAAAGCAAGAACAAAAATGTGGCTGCTGTGCTTCACATCTGTTAAAGATTCTTTCATATTCTACCATAGTCAATTCAGTGGCTATGTCAGCTTGGTAGCTTTGTAGATCACTGTAGTTGTTTTAGTATTTCAAATGCTGACAATCATAGTTTGTCTCAAATATAATTCAACATAAGGTTTGTGGACTAAATACACTAGAATTGTCTATGGACAATTTATGATTATTTTTGGTTATATTGAATTATATACTAAGGTTGAACCAAAAAAATCAGAGGAAGAAAAAAATCTCCAAATGCACTTTTACCCTATAAATTGTTCTATTCAATGCTTCCTCCACCAGCCCCAAAGTATACTGTTTATACTTGCAGGGAAAAGTCAGCATAAGAACTAAAGCTTGTGTATGCCACCCCAGAGAACAAAACATAAAGAGTTAACGAAAAGAGCCCCCAACCCATTGCATCTGATAATTTTGTAAAAATAGGACTTTGTTCCATTCAAACTGAGGGACACTTGTCACTAGTTATTGTTTAATCTGTTCCTAGGGTTTTAAATTAACCAATAAGTTTTCAAAGGTAGCACCATTTCTATTACTAAAAATTAAACTTTACTTTCAAAGTACATCAACTGTTTTCCTTCCTTTATTTTCAACGTTTGTCAGAATATTTAGCATAATAAAGGTGTAAAATATATGACTATTCAAAGTAGAGTTGACTAAGAGCATTACATCATATGATATTTGCAAATACCAAAGCTGCATCAACTAAAATGTACACCCCTGATGACAATTTAAATTGATTTAAAATTCTTTCAAAAGGTTTCTCATCTTCCGAGTTGTATTCCCTTTTACCAGTGTCCTTTTGATTGTCACATTACATTACATCTACGCACAATATGATACAACATAACCTAATGCAGGCGAAGAGACGTAATGAGAAATGTGTAGGCATAGCATTTTAATGAGACAGCATCTGGGTTGCATTGAATGTCTGCAGTTAATTCACAGAACAATACAGAGCTAAAACTTCTGACATGTTTAGCCAACCAAATATTCATTAAGGGAAGCAAACTAGATGCATTGTAAAATCTCCCTCGTGACAATTACTGCATCTTCAGATCTGTGGGCAAGAAATAGACGTTATTTCAAGTTGAAGTGCCTGGTGTTCTGGTAGTATCAAACCCTTTATTTTTTTCCTTTCAGGTCTTAAAGGGATTTCCAGAATGTTTACAAGCTGACATTTGCCTGCATCTAAACCAGACTTTACTGCAAAACTGCAAAGCCTTTCGAGGAGCAAGTAAAGGCTGCCTTAGAGCTTTGGCAATGAAGTTCAAAACCACCCACGCCCCTCCAGGAGACACCCTGGTTCACTGTGGGGATGTCCTAACTGCACTCTACTTCTTGTCAAGAGGCTCCATTGAAATCCTCAAGGATGACATAGTGGTAGCTATTCTTGGTGAGTCTTTTGGCAATGAATAATGACATCTTCAGCTATGAGGGTTTGCAACCAATCATTAGTTTAGAATGACAGGCTAACAGACCGATTGGTTGATAAGGACTCTAACGCCGATCATTTGAAGGCTTTATTTCAATTTATGTCATATCAAATTAACCTTGCAAGAATACATTTTAATGTCTCAATTTTTGTTTAGTATGTAAACATTCTCATGATTCTCTTAAGCTGTTGACAGCTACTTAAACATTTGAAGCCAAATATACAAAAATAGTCGACATTTTCTTTTCACGTGAGATCTTGGCTTCATGGTTGATCCTGCAGTATCTTAATATGAAATACTCAATGTTGTAGACATACTAATTAGCATATGCCTACAGTAGCATGAGCTAAGTTTATATTTTAATGAATTTCATTTATTTGCTATATACCCTTAGAAAAGGAATTGGAATCCTTACCAACAGAATGTGGCAGTAAGGATAACATCGGGACTAGAGATGATAGGACACAAAATGAGTAATACGTGGGTTTGAGTATAAAGGAATGTTCATGTTTAGTCCAATCTATCTATTTAAAACTGAACCTACTTATATGAAGTTATAGCATTTCTTTCGACTGTTAGGGTAATGGAGAATGGAACAGAAAAAAAATAAGTCTATTCTCTTTCTCTCTGACCACATAGTTGCAGGATCAAAACTGCCCCCTTCCCACAGTAAGACCTCCTCCAGTGTCTATAAAAATTCAGTTTCTCATAGATTTAATACACAGTTCCATTGATTATTAGGCATACAGAACTGGAGGAGTAGATGGGAGGCAGACTTGCCTAGCACAGTCAAGGCCCCAGGTTCATTTCCCAGTATCTATCAATTGTTCCATCAATATGTGCAGCTGAATAATTTCTTTTCACTCAGTTCTTAGTTCTCATATCTGAACATTAACTCATAAGTATTATCTATTTGTTGATGGACAAAACCAAAGCAAGGCTCATTAGATGCCCTACACAAATGAAGAGGTTTAAGTGAATTCCTTAGTATTTTGATAATTTTGTTATTATTACAGTTTAAAAAATTCCACAGATTGAGAAGGTACACAATTTTATTTTTAAACCAATAAAGAGTCAAAGAATAAAAGCATCCTAAGTCACTTCAAGGCCACTTATCAAAAGAAAGTTTTTACTGGATTTGGCATTGGAAGCTCATCTTGGTGTGTTACCGAGAAAAGCAGAGGCTGATCTTTATGCCTGTCTGTCCTGGCGAGAAGCTAGTGAAAAACACTGAGCTTCTGTGTTTAGAGAGCAGTAAGTACAAAGTGCTGCTCAGCATCGCAGGGTTGCTTCCTTGCTCATCTAGAGTCACAGAAGATAATTAAAATATAAACCCCTTGCAAATATAGTTCAGAGTCATAAAAGCAATGTCTAGACTAAGTCATTCAAACTAAGGAATTTCAAAAGCTTCTCCTTTGGTGTCCCAATTTTCATGCATGTTAGCATAAAAAAAATATTGCTATTTATTATGGTTTTCAAAGTCTAATAAGTATTTATTTAAACAATGCATAATATCTTCTATTTATTAGTATATGGTATTTTACTTTTCCTTATTAAACTCTCATTTAAAATAAGAACATTCCGGCCGGGCGGTGGTGGCGCATGCCTTTAATCCCAGCACTTGGGAGGCAGAGGCAGGCGGATCTCTGTGAGTTCGAGGCCAGCCTGGGCTACCAAGTGAGTTCCAGGAAAGGCGCAAAGCTACATAGAGAAACCCTGTCTTGAAAAGAAAAAAAAAAAAAAAGAACATTCCAGGATATTTGGCTTGTTGGAGCATTATTGTTTAAACATTATTGATAGCTCCCCAAATTGGAGGATATATGTGGTAATCCACCAAAAGCTAACATAAGGCATACAAAGAAGTTTTTTAGTCTGAAAAGAACCTTCTGGATATATGAAGAAATCACTATTTTGCACTGTTACTAATGACTTTTTCAAGTAACTTCATAAAGTAGTCTATCAACGTTTACTAAGGGTATAAACCATTTTAGTACCTTGATATTCAGAAACAGAACAATGGCCATGAAATTTTGAGAATTATTGGGAAGTTTGATATCTTTAGCAGGTAAAGATAATGAATGATTCTGGTGTCAAAATACATGAGTTTTAATCCTGACTACTTTTTCTTCCTCTATTTCACCCAACTAAGAAATGACCTTATTTCTTATAGTCAGTTTACCTCTTAATTTTGTTTCAATATTTATAAATTTTTGATGCTAATCACATCTTCCCAAAATTATTTTGGGGTATAATATACATATATACGCATAAACATACATATGCATAATACACATAAACATTTGACACCGTACCTGGCACCTACATGGTCCTCAGAAAAATATCGGTTATTCTTACTCTTGTCATTGAATGAAACTGAAAATCAGATAACACATGGGTAGGCGGAGGTGACGGGGAGGACCATCAGAATCCAGATACTGAAATAATCCCAGTGTTTGTAGAAGCACAAAGGGGACAAAGTTTCTAAGCAAAGAACAGGTGACCAAAACCCTGACGATGTATGTGGGGGACATAGAACTAAATACTTTAAACAAATACTTTAAAGGCAGATTCAGAACTGGTATCTGGAGGAAACTAGGTGTATTGATATCACTTGTCCATATCTGTGAGTGCAGAGGAATGGTGGAGCTGTTAATTGGCAAAAGCTCCAGACGTGATCCTGATGAACAGAAAGAACATGAATTCAATTCATTTCAGCCTCTCATATTCCTGGACTAACAGCATCAGAACACTTCCACCTGAAGGTATATTTAGAAAACCATATGGCAAGATCCATAGCTAGCACTCAAGAGTGTAACAAAATGAAGGCATCCTCTAGATCCTACATGCTTAGCAAAAGAGCCTAAATAAAGAAATGAAAGAGATTATAACAGAAACCGTGACTTTTAAAAAGAGCAAAGTTTCATTCAGCAAACATTGTACAATCAGTCAAGACACAGAAATTTGCTCCCCATGTACCTGCAGGTATAGGATCTTACATTTGAAATCTTTGGTTCAATGATTTGCCAGTTGGACGATGTCCCTTTCTAATATATATATATATATATATATATATATATATATATATATATATATATATGACATTATATATACACAACATTAATTCTTTCCCTTCCTCCTTTTCTTTCTTTTTCCTTCCTCTTCTTTTTTGGTTTATTTCAGGAAAAAATGATATCTTCGGGGAAATGGTTCATCTTTATGCCAAGCCTGGCAAGTCGAATGCAGATGTGAGAGCACTCACGTACTGTGACCTGCATAAGATCCAGCGAGAAGACTTGCTGGAGGTCTTGGATATGTATCCAGAGTTTTCTGACCACTTTCTGACTAATCTAGAACTGACTTTCAACCTAAGACATGAGAGTGCAAAGGTAGAGACCAACTGCTGACCTTCACCTTTCTGAAATGCCATTCATAGATTTGCCAAGTGCTTCTGAAAACAACCAACAAAACATTGCAACAAAAATGTATCAATATTAAATACTTAGAGAAAAGACCAGCTGAATATTGAAATTAATAAATTATAGGGCAGGAAATCAGTATTAAAAGATGTTGAATAATTTTTTTAAAGGTCAGTTAAGTTTCACCTTTTAGGAATTCTTAGAGTCTTGGTTTCCATTATACTATTTGTAGGAAAAGGAGTGGTTTCATCCCCTAAAAAAAGTTTATCTTATATAGAGGACAAAATATTCTCTCATTTATTATTTCTACCATATCAGCTGCTACTGATTTCTCTGTAGTACTGAAAATATTAGCCTTATTAAAGTTTAGATTAATGCTAAACTCAATTTTCAAATTAATGAAATATGAATTAATTAACTCTTACAATAGAGTGAAAATCTAGGCTATGGAGTGAATAGAATGTGGTCTAATAGAAATGATATTTTACTTTCAATTCTGCACATTACCTAACCTATAATGATTTTGGGAGTCTGGCTCTTACTGTGCTCCACTGTGAACTGTGATCTGTGATCTATAAACTGGTCCTGTCCTGTGGAAAGATAACTTACATTGTAGCTCACAATTTATTACTAAGTTAGTTCCTCAAGTTTCAGGAACTCCTTCCCAATTCTAAATGCCCTCTTATAATAAATCAAACATGGAGTACCTGGAACTTGCCCAGTGTATTTCCATATGAGCTAATATATTCTATGGAAAATTTCCCTAGGTCAATATTTAGGCAAAAGATGTTAGATTTAAGTCTCCATGGAGTTGTATTCATCTCCGAGCATTCTGAGAGACTTAAGAAGCAGCAGTTTCTAGGGTCGTCAGATGGCCATTCAGTGTTCTAATTGAGCTAACGGAGCTAAACTTGTCTTCAAACCCACGAAAAAAAATTAAAACACACAGTAAAAAGTCTCCAATTCTTAAAACTATATTCTCATAATGATTTTAATTGAACACTTTATTGTGATCTATGTCAGACGGCACCAAATCTCATTCTGGTTTTGTCCAAAAACCAACTATGAACTTAAGGTAATTCCTTTGTACTGATATTCAGATAGCACCCAAATGAACAGTGCAGGAGCTTCTGTTTTGATTTACAAGATTGATGTTGTACAGACAATCAAAAGAGGAGGAGGAGCTGAAACAAGTGCTATAAAGGTCCCTCAACATAGTAGCTATTGTCTCCAATTATGTATTTATTGTTAAATTTAGCCTTATGTTCATTACTAAGTAATTTATACATCCTAGCTACTGGTAATTGGTTCACACATTTTCTAGCAATAATGAAGGTTCTAGTTGTCTAAATTATTAATATTTTAAAAGTTTATCATGTTATACAAAATGTTCCCTTGCGTGGAATATTTTGTCTCCTTACATGGCATATTTTGTCTCTAAATTCTAATGCCAGATCCTAACATTCTTAACCTATAACTCCTACAAACCATGGCTTCCCCCAATCAAATTTTGAAGCTACTGGAATTATTCTATCAATATTCTTTACAATTTAGAGACAATCTTCAAGCAAATTATTGTTACTACTGGCCAAAAATACAATTCTCAATATTTAAAGTAGTTGATGTGGTATGACATAGCAAAGAGTTTGCTGATAATACATCATGTTCAAGCTGAGTAGCCTCTTAGTTCCACCTTTGAGTTCCATTAACAAAGGTTGATCTTTTGCTGCAGTCCCAATCCATAAATGATTCGGAAGGGGACACCTGTAAACTACGAAGAAGGAGATTGTCCTTTGAAAGTGAAGGCGAAAAAGGTAATTAATTCTTCCTACTTGTAAAGTTTAATCTGGAACATGTGGTGACTGGCTCTTCTTGCTTACACACTCATTATAGTTCTGATTTTCAAAAGCAAATTCAATTCATGCTTTGATAGTGTTAGGAGAATCACTTTTGTTCCCAAACTAGAAACATGGTTTCTGTTTGGGGGTTGCTATCTTTAAATTGCATCCTTCAACAAAGCCACCCCATGTCTTCAAGGACAGCACCAACAGAGAAATTGGGTAAACTGATTAAAAATGAAATCAAGTGTGCAGAGGGCATGAAACTGTCAAATGTCTTCCTTAGGAGTATTTCCCCCTTCCTTTGAGATGGAATCTCACTGGTCTGGTTCTCAAAATTAAGCTAGACTGGCTGCCCAGTGAACTTCCAGGATCCTCTGCCTCCCCAATTTTTGGAATACATGCACATGTCACAATCTCAATGTTTTTGTATGGGTCCTAGAGATTAAACTCATATCTTCATGTTTATGAGACTTTATCTACTGAGCATTCTCCCCAAACCCCTGAGTTTCTTAAGATATCTTCTGCATTCTTTTCTTTATTTGTAGTATACTATTTCTCTGATTAATATCATTTATGCTTCTCATTTCATTCTGTCCTCATTTGGGAGTTGTACATATTAATATCTTAAACCACAGGCCAGATGAGCATCCATATTGTGAATTCAACTTTTTATTAAACTATCTACTTAATTCTCAAAGGTATGTCGTAATACTTCCTTGGAATTCACCTCCCTTTCCATATCTATTACTCTACAAATGCTCACACCATCCAGATCAGTTCCACAAACATGTAGGATCATAACTTCTCTCAAGCTATGCAGAAACTCTAGTGCTGATAAGGCTTGTTACTGCTATCTCCGGCATCTCTACTTTCAAAACTATGTATTTATTGGTTCGTTTAGCTCCATCTCCACAGCCATATTGAGCCTAGATATCATCATATACACCCTTAGAATACTAAACTAGCTTTTTAACTAACTCATTTTCCATGTAAAATCTACTTTATTTTCATCTATTTTGCAGCTTGGGCTACTGATGGGTTTTTTCCAATTACATTTATGTCACCTATATATATAAATTCTTCCAAGGAGTTGTTATTGTTATTAATTTTTAAGATTTGTCTTGAGAATTTCATACATGGGTGCTATGTTAACATTTCTATTTTTCCCTCTTCCCACTCCAACTCTTCCCATGCCCCTATTCCTCAAATTTATAACTTCTTCATTAAGTTACATGTAGATATAGATAAGATATAGATATAGGTACATATACAGATGAGATGATAGATAGATAGATAGATAGATAGATAGATAGATAGATAGATAGATAGATACATCATACATGCATACATACATACATACATACATACATGCATAGATCATTCATACATACATAGATGGCAGACAATCTATTGAGTCTATTTAGTGTTGCTGCTATATAAATGTGTTTAAGACTGATTACTTGGAATCTGATAACCTATCAAGGGTTCATCCCTGGAGAAAACAGTCAGTCTCCTGTTCTGTGTATTGTTAATAGAATTGGCTTCTTCCTACTTCTTTGAGTCTTTTATCTCATACTATTTCATACTGCCATCCCTTAACTATTCTCATCAGCTCCTTGCCTTTGCCCTGAGGTTCATCTCCTCTGAAGCCTTTATTTCAGTTGTAGGTATTCAAAATACTACTTCTCAATGCTGTCTACCTGTGAATTGTAAACTTCATAAAAATGGGATATACTGGTTCCCAGTGGTTCCAGGGCTTGCCATATGTACAGCAATGTCTATTGGAATTATAACTGAGCCAGGCAGAATGATATGTTTCCATAACCCTGGTACTCAAGAGGCTGGAGCAAGAGGATTGCCATTTTCAAACCAGATTAAGCCACTGGAAGAAAGAGGAGGAAGAGGAGAAGAAGCACAAATTCAATAGCACTTGAGTAACCTTTTTCTTCCTCCTTTTTGTATTTTTATTTCAAGTTCTCTTCTTAACTCTATTCCCTTGAAATATTTTCCCTTGGAGATATCATCTACTAGCTTGCTATTCATTTTTAGTGACTTAAACTCTTCTCTCTTTTGTGTACATTGTGTCCATGTTCTTGCATACGTTATTCCTTGTAAAAAATTTCCATGCCTTTTTGAAAACATACAAACACAAACACAGTAAACATTAACATACAATCAGACCAGACTGTTTTTCACTCACAACAATTATGGTTTGTGATGCGTTTAGCATGAGCATTTTCTTGATCACTTTAAATGCATAAGGATTTTCTTATGGATTCCCAAGGTACATTCCTCTTGTGATATTGCCAAAGCTGCTCTATGCTTGGGTTATTGGTGTGATTATTTTGTTTTGTTTTTCTCTACCAAACTCTAGATTCAAAAAAACAAAAACAAAACAACAACAACAACAAAAAAACTGGTAGATATTGGTTGTCTTGTGTCAATAGTTAAATCATTTAATCAACTCCATAAACTACCCATAAATAGGCAATTTTTTTTCCTGCAATGACCACCTTTATTTTCTTGGTGGAGTTTTCTAAAACAGTACCCCTGATGTCGAGCTGTTTTTCCACAGAGTTAATCTAAGTCCCTCATCCTGATGTTAATCTCTTGGTTTTATCTCACTGGAAATGAAGAACAGTCCGGCAATGTAGCCTATGTACAATAGTTCCCCATAGGGTTGAAGATTTATTAAATCTCCTTTCAATCTTGTTCACTTTCCCCATTCTCAAGGCAAATAATCTCACGTTTATCTTCTGATAAGACCCTGAAATCATGTCACAATTCACACAGTGTTCATGTACCCAGACATTTCTATCGATGTTGAAAACATTCCCTTTAATCGCAGCCATAGTTTATGAGATCTAGTTTATATAAAGTTTAGATAGCAAGAGATTTGCCTTTCTGTATCAGTCTGATATTTCCTAGCATACCCATGTGTTACTGTGAGTTCAACAATGTGAAAATACAATTAATTACCATTTACCAGAGCTTTACAGGCTTTTTTTCTTTGGGATTCCAGGCTGCTGCCGGCAAGTGCAAATTTTGCTAAGAGCAACTTAGTCCCAGTCACCTTAATCTAATGCTCTCTAGGTGGTCAGTCTTCCAATATTTTGTCATATAAAATTATCTTCTGGGAAGAAAAAACACACAGAAGAGGTCAATGTACAATAATAGAGAATTTCCAGAGGATTCTCTGATACTGAACAACCTAGGGCTGAATAAACTAAAAGCTCCTAGGGAATGTACCAATTATTTTAGTGTTAGCTTACTGCTCCTATGAGACAGATCCTTGAATTCCAGGAGTGTTGATGTCTTATGAAATCAACTGGCAGAGACACCAGGGAGAAGAATAGTCCGCAGATAGGAAACAGGCAGACAGAGGTAAAATCTTGCCTGGTTTCCCACTGCCTACGCAACAAGAACCTGGAAGTTCTTAGGTTTTAGCCCTTAGTATGTCCACCTTAGCATGCATAAACAGCATATTTAAAGAAATGGTCAGGACCTCTGCCAAGCCGACTTAATCATAAGGAATTTGTTGATGTGGATAGTTTGTCTTCATGAGCTTCAAATTTATTCTAAGGAAATAAACCCACTTTCCAATAAGAAAGAATTATCATAGAAAATTTGAAGGTTGGGGGTAATTCTGTGTTTAACTTCTGGTACACAGGCACCTAGGATTTATGACTAGGGTCAGCATAGGTAGAGATGCTAGAGTTCTCAAGATGGAAGTACAATCTTCTTGCTACATAAAACGAAGAACAAAAATGATGCTTCAGTGATGTATTCTATTGCCAAGGAAACTGTGATGGCTGGGCAAAATAAACTAATGAAAGAAACAATGAAAAATCACTTCTACTTAAGTGGTCTACAAAGTTGGATTATGCTTACCCTCAAGTGTGCTAAAGTGATTAATTGAGTCTTGGGAATATTTCTTTTAAAATATTACAATGTATGCACTGAATAAAATATATACAATATTAGCACAATGGCATGTAGATTAACACGGAAAACAGTATTATGGATAGTATATTATAAAATATGTAGTTGTGTCTTGGTATATATGTATGTATTGATACATAAAGTACCATTCCATACTCAAGCATTCACACATACATATATGTATATATACCAACAAGACTTACATGTCAAATATTTGGTGTGTTCTGCTCAATGCCTTCTGTAGAACCAATGTACAAAAGTAGTCACTAATAGATGGTTGGAGTACCTATGACATTAGGTAGTTAACAATCTAGTAACAGAAACATTGTTGTGGATGTAAGTCAATCACCCATTCATGTATAAAACAATCATTGAGTGTTTGTTGTGTACTAAATGCTCTTAGGTACTTTACTTAAATCTTTTTTTTTTTTTAGTTTTAAAAAGTTGGTTTCTTCTTATAAGAGAAAAAATTTTCACTAGTTAACAGGCAAACAAAAATTTCTGTATAACAGCTAATGTCTATCTATGCTTTTTCATTTTTATTACACCTGTTTTTATTGTTTAGCAGCAAAACCAAAGATTTCTACTGAATTCTGTAGAACTTGCTTTTCCATAGTTGTAGCAAATGGTGAGCAAGGGAAAAAAAGATAATTTAGAAAGGAGGAACTCTTTAATTGGTTTTACCATTTAGAAACTGCTGATGTTGTGAAACCAACAACCATGACATACTGCACCTGCTGATACTGTGAATTTCTAGGAAAATGAACTGCTGGGGCATTTTTCACCTAAAGCCTGGGTTACCTTGAATCATTATTATAGTGGGAGGGAACGGAAAGTATGAGCCTCCCAAAGACAGATCTAGCTTGACTGTACCTGCTCAAGTTCCCGCTCAGAATCAACATAAATACCTACTTTTGCTTCTACTCATCCTTTATGGTCATGTTCCCTACTTCCTTTTCCAAAGCTTAAAAATAAAAGATATGGTAAATAATTAGCCTCATTTAAGTTTCACTTGAAAAATATGTGGAATCAGAAGGAAAGTAAACATTGTTAGCCAATAGAAGTTCTCCCAGAATCCTAAAGGTGTTTCTAAAAGAGAAATATATATGTACTATGTTGATTTTGTAGACCTAATAATCAGCTCCTGAAGATCAGAGGACTCCGGCAGCTGCTGGCAATCACAACCAAGCTTGTTATCAATAACAAACTTCCAAAAATGAAAAACAGTAAAAAAATAAACAATACAAGAGAAAAATGAGGTGTTAAAAGATGTGCCTATTACAACCAGATACAGGGAAATCATTGGAAGTATACTTATTATTCCCTTCCAGTGGGCGTACGTGGTCCCACATTAAAAGTAGGGAACAGAGACTGACATTTTAAATTAAAAGTTCAGTGTTCCATGGATGCAATCTGAGCACCTTAAAACTATTACAACTTTTCTTTCTACTGACAACTGTAGGAACTATTACTTTGTTTAGTGATTTGTATTACATGTATTTATATTTATTAGTGATTGTATGCTAGAATCTGGCAAATTTTGAAAGTATTTCTCAAAAGAAAATAACATCAATGAAAGTAACTAAAGAAATAAATGCATACATTGCTAAACTTATTTTATGAGTGACGCAGGGTATAAATCTAATCTTTTTTTAAAAAAAATCAATCCTTTCATAAAATTGGCAAAATAATTTGATATCTGAGTTCCAGATTACCTTTCTCAAAAATAAATGATTTCCAGTCGATATGATGTATATCAATAATCCCAGCACTTGAGAAGGGTAAGTAGGGTGATACATTGTTCAAGATAGTCCTTGGCTAACTAGTGATTTTGAGGCCAACCTGGCTACATCTGTCTCAATAAATAAATAAATACCCCTATTAACAAGTAATTATATAATTTGTATTACCTATTTTAGTGGCATGTATGTGAAACCTTTCTTTACAAGATCTTTAGAAGCATGGTTAAAAAGCAAAAGCTGCATACAACTGTGGTATATAATGCAATATTTGGCTATCCATGCACACACACATATGGAGAGAGAGAGAGAGAGCAAAAAGCAACTGCCACAACCATACTTTTCAGCATAACCATTACTTCTTTCCTCAGTGTGGAAAAAATATTTAAGATCTTCTCCCAGGAATTATTAAGCCCCACTACAGGTTAACTGTCATTATCTTGCTTTATTACAGAGCTTTAGAACCAATTTGTCCTAAATAAAACTGTGACATCTCCTCAAATGCATCATTTCTTTCTTTTAGTTTGTAAGGCTGTTTAATCTACCATTTGTATGGAAACCTACTTAAAGGTCCCCTTTCAAGCCTCTGAAGTGACAGAGGGCCTAAGGTACTTAATGACAAGTGAAGAAATGTACTCCTGGCTTTAAGTTCCCAATGAAATGTTTTCCTAAACTAAGTGACTAGAGAGTACTCAGATTACCTCCAAATTGTCACCAGTGGGAAACATAAAACCCAAATGCCTAAAAAACTCATTAAATGTCTCTCTTTGACCAAGAGTTATGTCTCCCTGTTGAGTCTGACTAATAAAAGTTGTAATTAATCTGAAAAGAAAAACTTGTAAAAGACAGAGGGAGTTTAAGTATTTATTCCCTGACTTTTTTGTCATGGAAGCTATTTCTATTATCAATTGTAAGACAGCTGGGTCAGCTACTCCATCAATAAGTTTAATTTCATTAACTTGAATTCATCCTGAAGCTACAGACTCACCTACAAGGAAAGCCACACATGCTGTAGAATTATGTCCTGTGAGGAAAAGAGGAGGAAAAGCATTGTCAGCCCATAGAAATGGGAGGAAATAAAAAAAAAACAAGATTTATAGTCATCTGATTCAGAAAGCAAGTTTGATAATGAAACAAGCAGAAAAGAATTCTTCTCTGTAAAATGATCGGAATGGGTGATCGTTACCTCATTTCTAGAAAAAAGGAAAGCATAAAATTTTCTCAGATCTCTTTCAGAATGTGATCTCCCTATCTTCAATATTTGCCTGGAATACCAATGCAGAATGGGAAGAGAATGAATAAAAACATGCCATGATACTGTTTAATGGCTATCAAATAATTCAGTTTCTCTAGGGAAAGGCAGAAATGGGACAGGCCATCAAAATCTAGTACTTGAAGGCTAATAACAGTGCATTTCAACAGCTCAATCGTGCGAATTACACCTGCCAGCTTCCAGACTAAACATGACAGTTTCTATTTTCAGTCTACAAGTAGATTGTCATTTCCATTTCCATTTTATATGATAGAAAATGAAGTTTTAATTTAGCTAGTATTAAACAGAAAATCCTGCTTTGGGAAGGCTTCGTCCAAGCAGCTGTTCACACAGACTGCAATAATCTAGTGGAGTACAGAAACCGTCAAGAACACCAAACTTTTTCTGTTATTTCATTATTCATGTACCTCCACTTCTTGCTAAGAGGATTTCTGTGATAAAATAGCAGGCCAGTTTGGAGAGGAAAGAGTTCAGTTGGCTTACAGCTTACAGTCCATCACCGAGGCACTGAGAGATGATAAGGCAGTAATTTAGAACAGGAACCTGAAGCAAAGACTAGGCAAGAACACTGCTTACTGGCTTGCTCTCCATGGCTTGCTTAGTTTGCTTTATACAACCCAGAACCACCTGCCCGGGGGCAAACCACTCACAGTGGGCAGGGTCCTCCCACATCAATCATTAAACTAGAAAATTCCCCACAGGCCAGTCCCTCTTCCCAGATGACTCTAGTTTGTGTTGAGCTGACAGAAAAAAAAGTAACTGGCACAAGAGGTAAGTCCTATGTATATGGAATAATTGGCATTTTTAGACTATTGAGATAAATATTAGTCATTCTTTACTCATCACAGTCTGGGTACCTCTCCTACATTGAAATCAGCCTGTTTTAGTTCATTCATGTTAACCAATATATCATATGTCTAAAGAACTGAAATCAGACCATGAGTTAGTAAGTTAAAACTGGGCATTTTAGAAGGTGAGATGGAACGTTTTTTCCACATGTAGAGATTTAACATTTTAAAGGTTTATTCATTTTATTTAATATGTACAAGTGTTTGTCTGTATGTATGAGTATCATGTGCGTGCCTTGTGCCAACACTGGTCAGAAGAAGGTGTGAGATCCATAAACCTGGAGTTATAGGTGGTTGTGAGCTGTGAGTGCTGGGAACCAAACCTGGGTCCTTTGAAAGATCAACAAAACCTCTTAACTGCTGAGACAACCCATGTGGAGGGAATTAAAAATCCACAGACAATGACAAATCAAATGTGACAAAGTAGCTTATTAATCTGTGGTATGTACTGACTATAATTACCCACACTTGGATGAGAGGCACATGATTCAATGACTAGTTTAATTTAAATTTGGATCCTCTAGGAAAAACTCTGTGATCTAGTTACAAAGAATGTCAACATTAAGATGGGAAGCTTGAGTTGATACAAATACCAGACTATTAAATTCAAAAGGGTTAGTTAGGACTGGAAACGCAGGCTGTGAAAATTTGGAACAGTGAAAACTGAGAAAAGTTGAGCTTTTATTCTTTTCTCAAACTTACTAAAATAAAGTTGGTACCTGTTGTTTCCTGAGGATTGAAATGATATGCTCACAAAGAGGAGAATGCAGGTGGTATTACCAGAAGGCTCTGCATGAGACAAGATAAAGAAAACAGAGAGGAAGATGGGAAGGATCAAGTCTGGAAGTTTAAGGGGAGTTGGGTCAATGATACTGGAGAAAAGGACTTCTGCGTGTGCTGATCTGAATAATCACAGTTGGATGGGTGGTTGAGCGGCAGCGTGTAAATCTCAGAGCAGTAGTCATCACCACACTGCTGGAGGGTCTGCGATGTTCACAGCAATGATGGAGTCGCTGAACAAGTGTGATATCTTAAGGAACGACATTAGGTTCTCTGCATTTGCTAGACTTAAACTGATAGACCACAAACTTTCAGAGAAAGTTTATTTTTAAACACTGCCCATTTTTACCTTGAGCTGCTTTCTGGTTTTTAATATTTTTTAAAATTATAAGTTGTTGTTTAAAAAAGGGGGGGTATCTTTGTTTCATTTCATTGCCATATGGGAATTTTGAAAAGCAATTGGAAGTTTCTCTGGAGTGACCTTAAATCTGTTCATCTGGCCTTCTATAAATAACAAAATGAGCACATCAGGCACAGAGTGGATGGGGACACTGTCTTCAAAATTTCTCTAGAAAATGATATACCTCTTGGAGTTTTGTTGGTTGGTTATTAGCAGGAACCAGATGGAGAATTGCACTCTCTCCCCAGGACACTAATAGAAACAAGTTCTGAGATTTGTTTCTGAGTTTTTCTTGCTGAAATATGTTCTAACATAACCTTCAGGGCTCAAATTATCTTGACATTTCTCTATGAAGCAGTCAATATGCATCAGTGGCCTTGGTGTAATTAGGTAAAGAAACTTACCTCAATTACTGTATTTAAGCTTTATATTCTTTGCAATGTGCTACATAGCCAAACTCCCTGGAATGTCAAGGCCATTTCCTGAGCTAAGGTTGAAACTCGGTCTGCCTGACTTTACTGAAGTGGCTTCCAGCTTTGACCTTTACAACGTGTGAATGATTGTCACAGACGATACAGCATAAAGGTTTAAAAAAAAAAAAATAACAAGCTGTATAGTGGTGATATTTTAGAATTAGGACACATTTTCCCTAGTCTCTCCATTTTCCTCAAGAGATAATATGCCTGATTCTAAGACTAAATAAGACTTGACTGTGTGTAATTTTTAATTTTCACATCATTTCTCTTCCATATAAATTCGCTCTTGCTCATTTTCTTTAAATTTTGAAATGATTATTTTACTTCATGAAGATAAGCTAATAATCCTTGAATCTAGAAGTCTGCACATAACTACATATTTCCATAAGTAAAAGGTAGTTTACTTACAGCCATTTAGGATAATGTGCACCAAGACCCACATTTGGTTGTTTACTATGAAAATAATCTCTTTTTGATAGATTTTAGCAAAGAAAACAGCACAAATGACCCTGACGATTCTACAGACACAATAAGACGTTTTCAGAGTTCCAAGAAGCATTTTGAAGAGAGGAAAAGCAGATCGTCATCCTTCATCTCCTCCATCGATGATGAACAAAAGCCACTCTTCTTGGGAACAGTAGATTCTACACCAAGAAAGGTGAAAGCAACCAGACTCCATGGTGAAGAAACAATGCCCCCCTCAGGAAGAATTCACACAGATAAAAGAAGTCACTCTTGCAAAGGTAACTGAGCATCCGTGGTCTCTCCTCATTGCTAGATGGGAAATGATTGCTTTTCAGAAACTAAGAACTGCACAAGCCCAGGTTCATCTGATGTTAGACCCGAAGTTAACCTGTATGTCCCATCTGCCCAAAGACCAGGTAACTTCCTGGGATTCTGGGAACTGTAGTTCTTGGAAAAATAACAACAAAGCATCCTGTAAAAGAACGATGCTCTATGGGTTTTGCCCATGTAAGTTCTTCCAACACTTGTCTCAAGGCCACTTACCTGGAAAGTTGATGGTCAGGTGATGGTCCTGGCCAAGTTCCGTCTTTGTCAGTATTTAATATTTTTTAATAAAAGCTTGCGTAAATTCAGCCAAAATGGTGGCACTGTTTTTTTCTGGAGAATTTCGGGATTAACACTAACCCATTCAATTCATGAAATGTTTTAAATGTCTTAAGATTGAAGGACATCCATAAAGAGTTTGCATAATCCTACAATAGTGTTCCCCAAAAAATTTTAGTTCGGGAGGTTTTTATGGCCAATCAAACTTAGTGTAAGACTAAGCACAGTGTTGTCGGCAGCTTGTTGATTACAGGAAGAAAGGATCAGAGGCTATTTGCTGAAAGCTAACAGGTCAGTTTTTAATATTCACCCTCCATACCAGTTCTTGACTTCAGCATTAATAACTTTATAATATGGAAGCTCCATCCAATTACAGCACAATGTAAACCAAACAGAATTGTGTTTCACTGTGGATTAGAAGGAAGAGAAATGTCTTGACACAAAACATAGTCTTGATAACATTCTTGTTTCACCTCTCCCCTGAAAGGAATAACAAAATACAAAAGATTTGTTGTAGAAAATACACAAGAGCTGAGCAGCATGCTTTATTTTTCAGACTTTATGATAAAGGACAGAGAACAACACTTTTTAAATGCTACAGGAAGAACAATCAATTTTCCAGATCTATATATCTAGCTAGATCTTGCTATTTAAGTCAACTTGGAGATGTGGGTCAGACTACTTGGATTATAAAAATAGCTCTGCCATCCTATATGACTTTGGGTAAATGATTTGACCAACAGCAGGACCCAATTTATTCATTTTTAAGATAGAAATAATTTTATCTAACCAACTGATTATTATTATTAAACAATATAATCTGTAAATAAAATTTTCTAGGATCAAATCCTAAGCTCTATTTAATATTTTCTACTAGGTTTTATTTTCCAACTATTTCTTATTTAATTTAAATGTGAAGATTAAAAAGGCATCATACAGGACTGGAGAGATGGCTCAGTGGTTAAGAGTATTTGCTGCACTTGTAGGGGACCTGGGCTTGGTTCCTAGTTCCCACATCCATCTAGTGGTACATAAATGCATATAACTCCAGTTCCTGAGGATACATTATCCTTTTCTGGCATGTGCTACACATGCATGTGCTACACATGCAGACAAGCAGCACACACATATATACACATAATAAAAACAAACACATATTTTAAAAGACAATATCGTGAAACATTAAAAGATTATAACAAAAAGAAAGAAAACCAGGATGCTCTGCTGGGAGGAAAGAAAAGTATTTTTCACTGAAAAGGTAGACACTACTCACCATCATCATCATCATTCCACAGGAATGCCCAACAACAAAGTGTTGTTGAGTGCAAGATGGTTAGGCTTTCTAATTTCCCAGAGTTCCTTTCCCTATCATGTCACATCAGCTTTTATCATGATGTCACATGGCAATAAGCTAAGAATTTATGCAAATGTCCTCTAGACAACCTAAAATCTTGATGAAGTGCATGGAAATAGTATCTCATTCATCACAGGGGAAGAATAGAATATTAGATGTGATTATCAAATGTCCCATTTTAGTTATTTATGAAAATGGATTCTGGGTAGTACTAAAAATAGAAAACAGGTTGTATCCTGTAAGTCAAAGTTCTGAAGAACTAACTGAACAATAACTACTATGTGCAGAATAATTGTAAGATGATTTTTGTAAAAACATGTTTTCTCCTTGAATATTAGGCTCTCAAGTGACAAGTCATTAAAGATATTTTTGAGGTTTTGACTTTATAATGATTCTCTTTGACAGTGAATTCAAATGCCTTTCATTTCATAATTTTTCTTCTTCCAACTTTTAATTAACTCTTTTTTGTGCCCAACAAATTATATTTTCAGATGATTTTAACATCTCCAAATACCCATGTTTTCAAAATTCATAATGTAATCCACATTCAAGTCACAAATAATTATCTTGATAATGCATAGCTATCAAGATAAGACATGCAAATAGGCATGCCTATTGACAAATGAAATTGATGACACAAAGCTTCAGTCAAGGTGACATGCATTTAACATGACTAATTAATATAATTAACCAGTGAAGAACTTAAAAACTTGATTCCCTGCAAAGATCACTCCACAGAAACTTTCCAAGTGCAATGCTATATATTGTAATGAACTTCAATATGCAAGTGTAACGACTGCAGATCCAAGTGCTGCATTCTGACAGGGTAGTTGCATTAGCAATGGGCAGCAGTTTCACTCCCTTGTGTTCTGAGACTTGTCATCCCAAAGAAGGGTTTATTTAAGCAAAACTTTAAAAAGAAAAAAATGAAATTGACTCTGGCCTTCCTAACGCTGAGGTCAAGTATAGACTCCAGTGAAACTGTGAACCCTGAAAATGAAGGTTTACCCTCTGTTCATCCATTTGCAGAAATGTGTCTTGCAACTATGGCAACATTTTCCAAGGCAACCAGTGCAGATACTGTCTGAGCTATTTTTAGAAAGTGTCTACAAGGATGCTCATTTGATTAAGACAACTAACCAAGGTTTCTCCCTTTGAACTCTTTCTTTTTTTCATTCTGCCATTAAAACAAATTAACCACATATCTCTAAATTTTAATTAAAAATTAAATCGTAATCAAGGAAGCTTCAGTCTCACAGTACACATTTTATTCATTTCTACTCAGATAATCCTTTTTTCAAGCATCAAAGAAAAATACTATCCTCCATAATTTACTGCATGTGATTCACCAGCATCGTTTAAAAATCAATGTGTTACATGATTGTAAAATGAGGGGGCTGTTAAGCAGAGGCAGAAATTCAATGAGGTTACTTGGCATAAAGCTCATGAGGACCTTACATAGCCTTCCATGCAATCCGTTCTCAGTCTCTCTGAAGAAATGTTCCTACAAAAACTGGCTGTGGAGAAAAAGAGGGCACAGTCCCTGGCATCTCCACATGCTGATTTAGCATCACCAGCACAGAGCAGAAGATCTAGTTTACTAGATGTAGACACTGTGCTGTGGTTTTGCATTTTAAGTTGGTTCAAATGTCCCGTGGACAAAAAACAAATCACACTTCTCAGTGAAATCTGTGGCTTTACCTTTGTATTCACATTTCTTCCTGTCCGGCAAAACTTGAAAAGAAGCAATACAATGACACTGTAGAAAAACGTTGAACACCAAGATCCTGCAGGCTAAAGATGCCATAATCAGGAGCCTTCTCTGGATATCACAGGGAAGTCTCTGAGGTCTGTTAGCCATTTCCACAAAACAAGGAACCTGGCCTTGTTTTTCACATGCTGTCTTTGGTTATGTTAATTTCTTCCTTATAGCCTCCCCTACTGAGATAGAAATAAAAAGCACATCATTAGAGACTTTTTTGTGCATTCAGTGATAAATGAGAGGGAGAGAAAACCCAAGGAAAAAGAATAGTTTTCTTTCTTTCTTTCTTTTTTGTTATCTGCTTAGAAAGGGGGAGTACAATGCACCCCCCAGTGTGCTTTCAGAGAAGCCATAGGAAAGGAAGTCTCACAGTTCTGTTCCCTATTTCTAGAATCAGAGCTAATCCTGCCCAATTTAGATACTTTCGGTCCTTTTTTTTTAAAATAGCTGAGGATGTAAATTCCTTATCTTTATGTAATAACTTTCCTTGCCGTTTAATCATAGCTACTTGTTAAGACTTTCTTTTAAAATGTCTCTCCAACCCAATTGCATTCCATAACCCAGAGCTACTTCCATGGGAAAACAAAGACCCACTTGAGGTACATCTTCCCTCCCACCAGCTCTCCCATGAAAGAAAAAAAATGCCCTTTTCTTTGTTGCTGAGATAATCTTCCACATCTAGTTCCATTTCTTCACTGGTTTTATTTTCTTACCCTTCAGACATTTTGTAGAAGAAAGTGGATTCAGAGCATTACAACTCTTGATAAAAATGAGGAAGAAGGTAGTATACAGAGATTTTAGGAGAACAATACTACAAAAGGTTCATAAAATGACTCATTCTATGAAACACGATCACATCATTCTCAATTGAATTCTTTAGGGTCACAGTCTTTGTCTTCAGTTCCTGATGCTTAGCAGAATCTGGAATTTAACACCCGGCACACCAGAAAAGTAGAATTGAGCACATAAGAAGTTTGTTCTAAAGTATATTAACATGAAAAATATTAATAACAAAAGATTCACATGAAGAAAATTCTAGAAAGCAATGTGATTATATTAAATACAGTACAAAAGTATCTTTAAGGAAGTTGAAGGCATGGAACAGTAGCCGAGGACCTTTAAGACTTCTTATCTAGAGACTGTGGCTCCTTGGCTCAGCACTGGGCTCTGTTGGTCTAAGGGAAACACCCTGAAGAGCCACACTTCTCTCTTGACCTTCTTGGGCTCAAGCAGAACCATATATGTGCAAATTACCTTATGGGTAGGGGTGCTAACAATCTTATGTTTTGGGTAAAGCAATGCAAACCAAACGTTATTTTCTCCCAAATTTAATAGTATAACAAACAGCATGGCTGTTGGATCACTTTGAATTTGTCCATCATGTCTTCTCAGCACCAATAAAAAGATGGAAAACATAATAACCTGAAAAAAAAATCTGTTACAGAATTTGAATCCTATGAAAAGAGATGAGGGAGGTAAGATAGGCAGCTTAAGGCTAAGATTCTGCTACAATTTGGAGAAGGTGGTTGTCATGTCCTTGAAATCCTGTGGTTCTCTCTGTTTTGGATTATGCCTGGAGATACTAATAGGTATCTTTGAATCTCCAGTAGTAGGTTTCTCTGCCGACACAATAAGCCAGATGAAGCCATATTAAAAGTCCATGTTTAATAAGCAAAGTGCCCTCAGGTGACTCTCCAGCCCCTGCCCCCCAGAAGTGAGGTGGGGGAGGGAAGACGAGAAATCATATGGCAGGTGTAGGGACCAGAGCTTAAATACCATGTAGATGCAGTCTTGAGCAGCTCCTGGAAAGGAGCCGCAGGTTGGGGAGCTTTCTGAGAAGAGCGGGATTTAGAATGGGGTGGAGGGTTATGAGGCAAAGGGGAGCTTCCAACTGAACAGATCCTCCTAGTCTGCCTTGCAGGTGTCTTTGTATTGCCAAGGCAAAGGGGCTTCCAAAGCAGCTGACATCTGTCTTCTCTCTCCCACAGATATCACTGATACACACAGCTGGGAAAGAGAGCCTGCCTGGGCTCAGCCTGAAGAATGCAGTCCCTCAGGACTTCAGAGAGCTGCCTGGGGGATCTCTGAGACTGAAAGCGACCTCACCTATGGGGAAGTGGAGCAAAGGTTAGATTTACTTCAAGAGCAGCTTAACAGGTAAATGAGTAGTTGAAGCAAAAGCGGAATTTATTTATGTACATTATGTTAAATAAAGAATACCGAGGAACACTAAATTTAGAAGACTTTTGCCATCAAGCACCCCATATTTGCTTACCATTTGTATATCATTTGCACTGGTTGCCTTTAAAACTCCTTTTGCCCTCAAAATAATTTACATTTCACTTCTTAACTGACAAACTTCCTTCTTTTAATCCTTGTATATTATTTAGTTGTTCCTGAATTAGTCCTAAGCTATGACATTTTAAAAAAAAAATAATTATTAAGTCAACTTTTCAAAAATGTTAATGTTTTTAAAAGCTCACAAGCTAAAGATGAGGGACTTGCTCCCTCATCCTTTCCTTTGATCTAGACAAATATAATATGAGGAATAATTTTAATTTTGGGGAAAAAGGTAACACTTTATTCAAGCCTGTATTAGTTCTTTAAGGTTATATTGGTCAAAAACATCTAGAAGAGACAAGCAAGTCTCTGAGTGCTAACCCTGGTTGATCTGCATGGCGAGTTCCATACCAGCCAGGGCTACAATGGAGTGAGATTCTGCCTCAAAAGAAAATGTTAGATAAAGACTCTGATAGCTGCCCTGAGTGTGTTTGGAAATTTGCTTTATATGGTGTTGACTTCAAGGTAAGTATCTCAAAGGCACAACAGGATTTATTAAAGAGGCAAGAATGGGTAATTAATGCATTTCCTATAAGCCTTGTGAAAAGCATGCTACCTGAAACCTGATTATACAACTTTTTTTCCTCTCTGACACACTGGTCTTCCCTGTCTGTAGTGTGGACACAAGAACCAGAGTTTAGCTTTCCCTAGACAGACCCACAGACAAAAACTAAACTCCTATATAAATGGCATCTGCTGCCTCTGTCTAAGATAAAAGGGATGGAGCACCATGCCATGACTGTCGCCTCTTCTACAGTCACAGAATTTACTGGGCTTTTATGGATAAAGCACACAAAGAGTCACGATAAGTGTTGCTGGAGGGCTTCTCTCCAGGTTCCCCAAGCCCCACAGTCCCACAATCCACGTATAAAATAATCACTCAGACGCTTATATCACTTATAAACTGTATGGCCGTGGCAGGCTTCTTGCTAACTGTTCTTTTATCTTAAATTAACCCATTTTT